CCCCAAGAGGCCTCCATGTGGCTAAAACCTGTGTAGAATCAATGATTAGGCATTCTCGCCGAGGCCTCTTGGAGCATCTTGGGTGCATCTGGGGGGGCTCTTGGGGCCTCTTGGGGGTCTCTTGGGGGCCTCCGGGGGGCCTCTTGGGGGCCTCTTGGGGCCATTTTGGGGCCATCTTGGGACCTCTTGGGGCTTCCTGGGCGCTTCTTGGGGCCATCTTGGAGGAGTCGATCAAACAAGAGGGGGGGGTGAATTAGCGCCCCCCCTCGGAAGCCCCTAAAATCGCCTCTTGGACCCCTCTTGGAACGCTCTTGGAGTGCTCTTGGGCGCTCTTGGGGCCGTCTTGGGGCTCTTTTGGGGCTCTCTTGGGGCCCTCTTGGGCCATCTTGGAGCCATCTCCAGGCCTCGGATGGCCATCGGAAGCGAAAAGGCGAGAAAGCAAAAATCATTGATTTTCCTTAGGTTTTGGGACGATTTTGGCCTCTTCGGGGCCTCCTTGGGGAGCTGTTTGGCCACTTGGAGTTATCTTGGGGCCGTCTTTGGGCTTCTTGGAACCATCTTAGGAGCCATCTCGAGCGATCTTGCGCTATCTTGAGCCATCTTGGAGCTCATCTTGGGTTCTCTGAGGCGCTCTTGGAGCCGTCTTGGGCCATCTGGGACGCTCTAACTACCCGCGGCCCCCCCCGTCCAGGTCCAGGGGAGGGGGTAGGGGGAGGGGTAAACCCCTCCCCAAGGGGGAAGAGGGAGGGGTGGAAGAGGATCTGCTCTAGACCACCTACGCCCAGAGGGCTGGTGGGATTAACGATTTGGGCCTCTTGGGGCTCTCTGGGGGGGCCTTTTGGAATCCTCTTGGAGCGTCTTGGGAGCCTCTTTGGCCGTCTTGGGCTTATCTTGGGGCCCTCTTGGCGCCCTCTTGGGCCGTCTGGGAGCCATCTTGGGCGTCTTGGATCGATCGTAAGCGTCTCGAGGCACGCTTGGACCGTCTTCGGCGTCTCTTGGGCCGGACAAGGGCGCTCCCGGAGGCTCCTCCCATGGGGGTTTGCGGTCCCGGCCAGGGAGCCCCCGGCCCTGTAGCCCGGTGTGTGTGTGTATATATATGTATATATCGATATACACACGTGTGTATGATGTGTACTTCATACATGTCCCCACCACCATACAAGCAGCACGCAGTGGAAGGCCCGAACGCTCACCACTCAGATGTTAGTGTGCGGGGGATTCGCTACAATGGGCTTCACGGCCGCGACCCCCAGGTTCCCAGGTGTCCTTGGGAATCCCCAGGCGCTCTTAGGAATTCAAGCTCGCTCTTGGCAATTCCTGGAGCGTGTCCGTTCAACTCTCTGGACGCTGAGCGGGCCCCAAACAACCACCAGAACCCCCCAAGAGGGCCCCCAGAGGCCTCCCAGACGGTCCATGAGCGACCCGACACCGCCCAAGAGCGACCCAATATGCCCAAGATAGCCTCAAGACGGCCCTAGAGGCCCCCAAGACGCTCCAAGGGGGCTCCGAGAGAGCCCCCGAGAAGAGGGCCCCCAAAAAAGCACAACTCATTGATCCCCCTCAGGTGCTTGAAGGATTTTAGCGTTCTCGCCTTCTGGGCCTCCGTCACTCCAACACGGCCCACGGCGACCCCAAAGTCGTCCCATGACGCCCAAGAGCTCCCCAAGACGACCCACGAGAGCCCCAAGACGGCCCCAGTGGCCCCCAAGGCGGTCCAAGAGGGTCGACAGAGGCGCCTAAGAGGGGGAGCATGAGCTGACATTTCGAGTCCTCCGCGCCAGCCAAGATGACCCCGATACCGCCAGCAGGCCCCCATGAGGCCCCCAAGAAGCACAAGGAGGCCCCCAAGAGGCCTCGAAGAGGGCCTAAGGCCCGCAAGATGCCCCCGAGAGGCCCCAAGACACCCCGAAGCTGCCGCCAAGAGGCTGTCGAGAGGCCTCCCGAGAGATCTTCTTCTGCGCAGATTAGGGCCATGCGTGGCCAGCCGATCGTGACAGTTAAAGAATGCAGTGCGTAGACCACCAAGGCAAGGTAATTCATAAAACATCTCCTAGTCCGTGCTTCAGCCTGGAAGGGCGTCTTTGCGCCTTCGTGGAAGCAGCCAACCATGGCTATGACTTCGGAGGCCCTATCACCAGCGTCCGGCCAATGAGCTTCACTGACCCATGCTGACACTGAGCTCGAATATTCTGTACGGACTTCAACGCAATGCACCTGCAGATTCGCTCACCGAAGCTCGCGCATGGAAAGCAAGGGGACACTGTTCCGCCACACTTTCTGACATCTGGGACGATTCGCAAGGTAGTAGGCCTTGACATTGAAAGCTCGCCTCTTCCACATTCCCGGGCCCGCCTCTTCTACACCACCTGGTCCTCCTGCCCAGAGATCCCAAACAGGCATCCAAGAGGCGGTAGCGGGATGAGCCGAAGGCAACTAGATATACACATAAATCCGCCGCCTTCTCTTGCATGCGACAGGGGGGGAGTGAACGGCGTGCAGGATGTTGGGTTGCATTGGCCCTTCCGAAAATTCCCGCTGGCCCCACCGGCCACCCGGAAAGACATAGAAAGTCAAGGAAAACGTGCGGTCCGTTGGTTCTCCCTCTCAAGACGGCTCCAGGATGGCCTCCAAGACGGATAAGATGGCCCCCACGACGGCTACGATGGCCCCGAGAGCGCCCAATATGGCTCCAAGATGTCTCCAAGACGGCGCAAGACGCACCGAAGACGGTCCAAGATAGCGCTCTGGACGGCCCAAGAAGCTCCCAAGACGCCCACATAGGAGGCCGACGTCATGGATGGTTCTAAGCTTTACACTGATTTTAGCGTTCTCACCTTTTCGGACTTCCGACGCTCCCAGGCAGCCCCATTGGACCCCCAAGATCGCCCCAAGTTGGCCCAGGAGGCCGCCAGAAGAGGCCAGCAAGACGGCCCAAGAGGACCCCAAGACGGCCCTCTTGGCCTCCAAGACGGCCCTAGAGCGCCCAAAGAGGGACGCACGACTGCCCGGAGAGGGCCCCAAGACGGCCTCCGAAGGCCAAGGTCCAGTAGAGGCTTCTAGAGGCGCCCAGGAGGTCCGAGGACGCCCCGAAGAGGCCCCGAAGAGGCCCCCAGGAGGCCCCGAGAAGGCGCCAAGAATGCCTTAAGAGCCCTCCTCTTCCTCTTCCGCCTCCTCTTCCTCCTCCCCGCCCTCCCTCTCCTCTCCAAAAAGTCCCTCGCCGACGACGGCCATCCGGCGGCAGCTGCACTGCGCGCTCGAGAGGGAAACAGAAATAACGTTAGGTCGGGCATGTCATCCTACAGGCGGATTTGGGAGGAAAAATAAAACATACTATAAGCATGTTCAACAACAGTCAAAACAAATAATCGGAAAATTGTTCCCTGACTATGTTTTGGCTATTTTTGAATGCTCCCCCTGTGGACGGACGCGCCCGATTTAAACATAGCGCAGCATTCACCAGAAACTGCGAGGAAGCGTCTCGAAAGATACTAATCCAAAACGCTGTGAACTGCATTGGAGAGCAGCGGGTGCGTAACTACCCCACCTTCGCTCTGCGCTGGATCTACCGAGGTTGCAAGTATGTGGTTCACGAGCATACCGCCTCCAGAAGGTCGCCGTGGACCAACACTACGGAAGAAGCAGGAGGAACAGGAGGAGGCGGGGAGAGAGAGAGAGAGAGAGAGAGGGAGGAGAGAGAGGAGGAGGAGGGCGGAAGAGGAAGTGGGCGGAAAAGCGCGCCGTTATCCTCCCTCTCCTCCTCCTCCTCCTCCTCCTTCTTCCTGTTCCTCTTGCTCTCCCAATTCCTCTCCCAAGTGTTCATCACAGGGGTTACACAACGGCTGGGGCAACACATATACAATCCAAAAAGTTGGCCAGACTCCGGCCCAACCTTTGGCCGCACTGGAGCTCCCAATTGGCAGGGCCGGCGGTGATTCGCCGCAGGTGTCCCCGATACTAACCATGACGTCTCATTGAGTCTATAAGAGGCTCTCTCTCTGTATATATATATATATATATATATATATATGGCGGATTTCGGGAACCCTGAACCCAAAGTGGTTTCATCTCTTTGGTGGCGCACCTCTTACTTCCGTCGGCTTCCGCCGCCCTCGCGCCGCCCTCCCGCGTGCTTCCGCCGACGGAGGCGGCACCGTTCTGCTTCCGCCGCCCTTCCGCCGCCCTTCCGCCGCGGAAGAGATGACAACCCCTTCCGCCGCCCTTCCGCCGCGGAAGAGATGACAACCCCTCCGATCCTCGAAGGCAAGGCCATTGTTGAACTGCCTCATATATATATATATACACACAAAACTATATCTATATAAACATATTTATATATATATATATATGTCCAAACACATACATGTATAAACCTTCTAGATATGCACATACACAAGAACATTGAGATGCAGCGCGATGGAAAGATGGACCCCGAGGCCTGGCGCGTCACGAGGGAGGGCCCGAGAGGGCCGCAGGGACGACCCGCAGAGGGCGCTCCCGGACGATCCAGGGGAGCCCCACGAGGGCCCCACGGGAGCCCCGAGGTGGCCCCGAGAGCGCTCCCGAACGCTCCAGGGGAGCGCCACGAGGGCCCCACGGGAGCCCCGAGGTGGCCCGAGAGCGCCCCCGGACGATCCAGGGGAACCCCAGCGATGGCCTCGGGACGGCCCACGGGGCCCCACGAGAGCCCAAAGAGGCCAAGATCACATATCGGGCTACGTCCTGGACGGCCCAAGAGGCAGCCGAGACCGGCCCAAGACGTTCCGAATGGTCTCCAAGAGGGCCCGAAGACGGCCCAAGTGGGCCCCAAGACGGCCCAGGAGGCCCCATTAAGGCCGAAGAGGCCCCTAAGAGGACCCCAAGAGGGGACGGACCAATATGGGGAACGCCAAGACGCCTTCGAAGCCTTCCGCCTTGAGCGGTCCGTGGAACTCGGGTGCCTCGAGTCGAGCCAGACCTTTCAAAACCTCTCAAGATGCCGACCGCGATACGCGGCTTCTGGGTCAATTGGCCTCCACGCTCAGGATCTTCCCCGTGGGGGATACGTCGACCTCCCAGACACTGCCATCGGGTGTCGTGACGTCGACCTCGAAGCTTCCGCCGTACTGCGCGGTTCCCAAGTGGCCTTCGTCAGGCTCCCACTCGGCCCCAGAGATGCGCGCCCCGGGCCACGTCCTGCGAACCTCGCCCAGGATACTGTCGATGTCGCTTTCCCCGAAGGACCTCACGCGGCAGTCCCAAGACCACTGCACACCGCAGTAACGACAAGCGGCGTTCTGCCCGTCTGCCATGCAGCCCACCTGGAAGTAGAACATGCAGAAAGGATCACAAAAAACCTGATTGAAGGAGCCGTACCCGTGCGAGCAGCAGGAAGGCCCCTCCGATGTCTGGTTGCTGCGGTTGCTCTCCGCCGCCGCTTTCGCCTGCAGAAGCTGCCCTTTTCCTTCGATCTCTAGAATCTTCCCCGTGGGGGATACGTCGACCTCCCAGACACTGCCATCGGGTGTCGTGACGTCGACCTCGAAGCTTCCACCGTACTGCGCGGTTCCCAAGTGGCCTTCGTCAGGCTCCCACTCGGCCCCAGAGATGCGCGCCCCGGGCCACGTCCTGCGAACCTCGCCCAAAACATTGTCGATGTCGCTTTCCCCGAAGGACCTCACTCTGCAGTCCTGGGATCCCGACACGCCACAGTAACGACAAGCGGCGTTCTGCCCGTCTGCCATGCAGCCCACCTGGGAGTAGAACACGCAGAAGGGATCACAGAAGACCTGATGGAAGGAGTTGTATCCGTGCGAGCAGCAAGAAGGCCCCTCCGATGTCTGGTTGCTGCGGTTGCTCTCCGCCGCCGCTTTCGCCTGCAGAAGCTGCTCTTTTCCTTCGATCTCTAGAATCTTCCCCGTGGGGGATACGTCGACCTCCCAGACACTGCCATCGGGTGTCGTGACGTCGACCTCGAAGCTTCCGCCATACTGCGCGGTTCCCAAGTGGCCTTCGTCAGGCTCCCACTCGGCCCCAGAGATGCGCGCCCCGGGCCACGTCCTGCGAACCTCGCCCAAAACATTGTCGATGTCGCTTTCCCCGAAGGACCTCACGCTGCAGTCCTGGGATCCCGACACGCCACAGTAACGACAAGCGGCGTTCTGCCCGTCTGCCATGCAGCCCACCTGGGAGTAGAACACGCAGAAGGGATCACAGAAGACCTGATGGAAGGAGTTGTACCCGTGCGAGCAGCAGGAGGGTCCCTCCGATGTCTGGCTGCTGCGGTTGCTCTCCGCCGCCGCTTTCGCCTGCAGAAGCTGCCCTTTTCCTTCGATCTCTAGAATCTTCCCCGTGGGGGATACGTCGACTTCCCAGACACTGCCATCGGGTGTCGTGACGTCGACCTCGAAGCTTCCGCCGTACTGCGCGGTTCCCAAGTGGCCTTCGTCAGGCTCCCACTCGGCCCCAGAGATGCGCGCCCCGGGCCACGTCCTGCGAACCTCGCCCAAAACATTGTCGATGTCGCTTTCCCCAAAGGACCTCACGCGGCAGTCCTGGGATCCCGACACGCCACAGTAACGACAAGCGGCGTTCTGCCCGTCTGCCATGCAGCCCACCTGGGAGTAGAACACGCAGAAGGGATCACAGAAGACCTGATGGAAGGAGTTGTACCCGTGCGAGCAGCAGGAGGGTCCCTCCGATGTCTGGCTGCTGCGGTTGCTCTCCGCCGCCGCTTTCACCTGCAGCAGTGGCGCCTCCTCCAGCTCCTCCGATGCGGCGTCGCGCCTGCAGGCCTCTGAGGGCCCGGGCGCAGAGTCACCAGCTCCGCCCTGGACCAGCGTGACGGCGATCAGCGTCGCCAGGCACCGCGACGTCGCAGACATGACTCGAAGCTACCACGGGCAGCCAGACGCCACCGCCTCCCGACGCCAGAATCCAAGGAAGCCTGGGCGGAATCAACTCGAGCCAGCTTCAGCCACAAGGCCGGAGCCAACGTCGACACGGAACATGCCGGCATGTGCGGAGCCTGCGGGCCCGATCTCCTGCACAAAGCGTACCTTCAGCGCCCCGGGGCGGGGGGGTAGCGCTCGGGCGGGGGTGCGGGCGCACCCCCACGCGAGGACTGCTGCGTAGTCTTAGGTCGGGCATGTCCTCCTACAGGCAGATTTTGGAGGACAAGCAACAAATGGTCGACAACGGCTCGAAAGTAGTCAAGGAACAAAGTCGAGAAATCGCCCCCAGACTATGTCGTGACTGTTTTTGTGTACTCCTCCTGCAGGGGGGGAGGCTCCTCCTGTCTATTCCCCCTATGTTGTGACTATCGTGTGACTGCTTTTGTGACTCGAGCGTAGTCCCTCCGTCGCTCCTCGGAGCAGCGTCCGCGGCGGCATAAGTGAGGGCACTCGTGGCTCTCATGGGAGGAGGAGGAGGAGGAGGAGGAGGAGGAGGAGGAGGAGGAGGAGGAAGAGGAGGAGGAGGAGGAGGAGAAGGAGGAGGAGGAGTCCCTGGGTGGGGTTGCGCCAGCCTGCGCGGGAGGCAGGCTGCCTGCCCGGGCAGGTCCGCGTGCAGCGGTGCGGCGGTGCAGCGGTGCGGCAGTGCAGCGGTGCGGCGGCGCAGGCACGCCCCTGGCCAGGGGCTGCGCAGTCCCTTACCAGCCTCGAACGTATACCTATCCCTAAGATTAACACGCCGAAAGGCGATGACAATCTTAGGGATTCGCCCTCAAAAAAGAAGGGGATCCCTAAGATTGGCATCGTCATGAAGAGGTGCCTAGCATAGGGATAGGGATATGTTCCAGGCTGGTAAGTCCCTGGTGCAGCCGGCGGCGGTGCAGTCCTTCGCTGCGGGATTCAGTGCGAGCCAACACTCCATGCAGGAGACCACACGAGGCAGTACTTTCTGTGCGGGAGGCAATTTAGGAGCCAGATTCCCTGCAGGAGCTCAGATACAGTGCAAGGCCCCCAGCGGGAGACAGTGCAACACAAGCCACTACAATGCCATGCGCACTCCCTGCGGGAGACAAAATACTATGCCACACCCCCTGTGGGAGACGATCCAATTGTGACCCTCCCGGTCTACACCGGCAGAGTGGCCATTCGCACTTTGACCACGCGGCACGGCAAAGCGCGGCACAGCACGGCACAGCACGCGGGCACGGCGAGGCACACGGGCGCGGCACCTTCCTCACCTCCGGGGCCACGCGGCACGGCACGGCACACGGGGACGAACCACGCTGGCACTGGCACGGTACGGCACGGCACGCGGGCGACACCTCCTCCGCACTCCGGCAGCGCCGCGCGGCACGGCGCCGCACGGGGGGCCCGCACCAGCGCGGCGCGGCAAGCGGCCAGACGGCACGGCACGGCCAGCGAGCAGCACATGCTTCGCAGAGTCTGCACGGCAGGCCCCCGCGGCATGCGGGCACGGCACGGCGCGGCGCGCGGGCGGCAATCTTTGCGTGGCATCCTCGGCACGCGGCACGGCACGCGCCCGACACGGGGGGGACGGAACGGCGGAACGCGCGGGCGGCACATGCTGATCAGGCGGCGAGCGAGGGGGGGAAGTGAGAAGGGGCGGGCCTTCTCTAGGGGGCAAACAAACCTACCTCGCTTTTGACCACCCTCGCTTCCAAGAGATACCAAGCGATGCCAAACTACGGCCTGTACTGGTCAGGCCGCTTGACGAGGAAGCGCGTGGTATGACTTGGTTTTGCCTGGAAGCGAAAGCGGGGTAGGTAATTCACGCTCCGATTCTCAGAAGGCTCGGCAGTCCCCAGGCCCCCTGAGAAGTTTCCGAAGCCTTCCCCGAAGACACGGGAGACCCTTCTCAGAAGGCGCCGGGGCTTCTGAGCAGTCCCGCCGCTTTCTGAGAGGGCTTTCTCCTTCTCACTTCCCCGCCCCTGGGCGCGACGCCGTGTTCGATTTTTGGGTCATAGCTCGGGTCTCGGACAGCCGTTCGGGACGACCCAGTCACCCCCAGAACGCCCTCGCCGAGGCGCAGCCGCTGGAACGCATCCCGAGGCTGGAAAACCGCCGAGAGCCGGCGAAACGTCCTAAAGCCTCGCGCCTCGAAGCCGAAGCTTCCACCCCTCGCTCGCCGCCGACCCACGCTCTGGAACCGAGGCGCGGCACGGCACGGCACGCTTGTGCGCTGCCCGGCAGCGCGCGGCACGGCGCGGCACGCGGCCGCCCCGCGGGGTGTCTGCACGCTGGCCACGCGGCGCGGCGCGGCACACTGCCCCTCGCCTGCTGGCAGCGCGGCGCGGCACGGCGCGCGGGCGGCACACACCTTGTCGCACTCTGGAATGAAGGGGCCCTGGGACACGCACAAATCAATGCACGCAAATCAAGGGATTCCCCATATTTTCCCACATGTTCTGGGTTTCTTGTCTTCCCCCCCACTGCCCAAATTTTCCTATTTCTTCCTGGGACTCGACGATTAATTGTGTCTGTGTGTTTCTTTCCCTCCTGATGGAAACGCGGCACGGCACGGCACGGCACTGCATGTTCTCTCTCGCACTCTGGAAGCCGGCACGCGGGCGCCGGGCCGAGAGGCTCTGAGCACTCCGCGAGAAGCCCTCGGGCAGCCCGCGGCGAGGACAGATGGCGTGCGCGCCGCGTCACGGCGTGCGATGCTGCGTGCCACGTCGCCGGGCTCCCAGAGAGCGGCCGGTGATGCGCCGCCAGCGTCCTCGATGCGCCGCCCCCGTCTGCTTCATGGCTGGTGTGCTCCGCGCGCCAAGCTCTGGACAGACTGCCAGTCCCTGGAACAGGTTCCCACCGAGCCCTTCGCTCTCCGTCGCTCCCCCCGGGCAGAACGCCCAAGGTGCGGCCCACCCTTCCGAGAACGACAGCCCGATGGTCCAAGACCCAAGGCGACCGAGGTGGGCGAGATGGCCTCCAAGACGGCCGAAGACTTCCCAAGATGGCATCCAAGACGCTGCCCAGATGGTCAAGATGGCCCCTAGCTGGTACAGCATCGCCCCAGGATGGTGCAAGATGATCTCCTGGGGTCTCAGGGATGA